ATTCTTATTGCGACAGACAACCCTGTCATCTTGCCTTGTGGTAATTAGGAGAAAGCCTCTGATGTAGAGCTCTGGATGGCTGTGAGAGCTAAGAAAAGAGTGGTCATTTTATTCCTCCACCCAGTAACACCAGGGCTGCTCAGAACAGAGGCAGAGGCTTGCATGAAGTTAGTGTTTTAAAAACTCGACTTTATAGTACCCACCTGAGCTTGTAGCTTGGAAAATGTTAACAAGTATGCGCACTTGTGAAATGGCCACTGTAGGCAACATAGAAACTTTTCTTGGCCCCTAACCATTTCTTTGTATCCCCACCTACAAAATTTTTCTACTGATCTGATTTTGCTCTTTATACTTTAAATTTGTCTCTTCTGCAATATAGTAATGTATTATATATATATATATATTCATGTATAGCTTAGCTCATAATAGTGATTTTTGTTGCATATATGGTATCAATAACTATGCATATATATGCATAAAATTATATATATAATTTTTTTCTGAATAGAGGTGCCCTTATTTTAAATTCTGCCTAGATGCCATTCTGATTGTTCTCTTCCTTTCTCCAGCTGCTAGAGATGTTGCCTGCTGACTGCCACATTTAATCAATACTTTGGAACTGCCCATGGCTGAATGGGGCTGTCTCATCTTAGGGTGCACTACCTTTGTGGGGGTTGCTACATGTAATACAGAGAATGAAAAGCCAGTACAAGAAATAAAATGTTCTTGCCCTGTTTCTTGATTCAAGGTATCTTTGAAGGTCTCTATCAGCTTCAGGCTTTCCATGAAATGGAGTGTTTTAAAACAGCACTGCATTTGTTGTATGTTTGTTTTCTTATGATTCAGAAGGCTAGAAGCCTGAAGTTATTCCTTGATCCTCTGTATCCCTCTCTATCTGAGCTTTGGATGTTTGCTAGCAAATGTTAGCTTTCTTTGGCTTCCAGATGCATCTTTCCAATCTCTGCCTCTGTCCTGACATCTTTCAGGGACCTGGTCAAGATCTCCAGCTGCCTGTAGGAGGGGTACTATGAAGGATTAAATAAAAGGCAGTGAATCAGTCCTGCGTGAAAGAGGAGCTGGGAGATGAGTGCCTCAGGATGGGCAAAGACAAAGACTCTCCAAGCTTGCCATCATTTATTGATCACATACACATGTTTTCCTCCAGGGAGGTGGGGGTGCAGTGTACTTTTCTTGGAACTGGGTTGCAATTATTGTGGGCTAGTAAAAAGAACAAAGCATTCTTGCAAGGATGAGACAAGGGTCAATAAGGAAACCCTTTCTTCCCCAAGTGAAACTTTTACTTCTATTACTGTTATCACTGCTGATACCCCTACACTGCTTTAAAGACCCTTAGAGTCCTTAGCAGGTCTTATCTTGCCTTGTGAACATTGCAGCTTCACGAGCCATAGGACTTCAGCTGTGGCCAGAAGAAAGTGGCAGGATTCCACATCCCCATCCAGCCTACAGAGCAGGACAGGGATGGCCTCAGAAATGCTCTAGATTCAGTTTATAATTTGTGGTCTCCAATGGACTTCACCTTACTCTTCATGTGTTTCTTGAAAGGGACTCTTTGTCATTGGATTTAAGGCTCATGGGAGTACCTAGCAACTCTCATCTCAAGACCCTTAGCACTATGACATTTAGAAGAACCTTTCCCTGGAAAAAGTAGCATTTACCTGTTCTCAGCAGGCATGTCTTTTTGAAGGCACCATGCAATGATTGTCTTTGGAAACAGTGTCACCGATGGGTGTGAAGGAAGTATTTAAAAACCACCAGTTGACCAGCAGTGAAGCCCCATCTCCAGTGATGAGTGGAACACTATTGATTGATCCTGTGTAGTAGAGGGCAATTATTCAGTGAACTGGGACAGGGCAGAAATGCTCTGGCATATGTCTCAGATGTTTAGCAAAGTAGTACTGAGAACATGGAACCAAACAAATGTATCAAGGAAAGATAATGAAAGCCTGGTAGTGATTAGTCAGTTTAAAGAGAAGTATGACAACTCTATGATCTCACTAGCAGACTATGGAGGACTCTAATCTGCAAACAGAGGGCAGGAAAAGCCCAGGCTTAATCTCAGGGTAGCTGGACTCTCGAGAATGTTATCTTCCTGATTTTGGACAGTTGACGACATTCAGGGCAGGGCCCTAATTGGAAATCTTGAACTCTCCCCAGTTCCCTTGACATTCTCCACCTACTAAGCATCCACTTCTCCATGCAGAAGTCTAGACCTTCCCACTTTAAATTTAAGGTTGCTAAAATATTACATTATTTTCCTTTCCCTTAGGATCTGCATTTGCCTTCCTATGTGGTCATCAGAAGAATCACTGGTCTCATGTGGCAACAAGTTGGGGGAGTATGGATATGCTAAAGGAGGGACCAGACCTTCAGAGAGACACAGTTCAAGACCACATACATTGGCAGGCGACTGGAGAGGAGGATGGGCTGAGTGCTGAAGGGGTTTGTTCAAAAACAGCTCATCATATATTTGGATGAGGTGGAAGTTTCTTAATTTGGAAACCCTCTCCTATGAGGTAGTTCTCCCTGGCAAAGAGCCAGAATAACAGTGGTAATACATGGTGGGAATTGCTCCTGGAGCCTAGAAAAGGGAGTGGTCCACTGATTTTGAAACGGTGTTCCATTGCTTATGAAGTAAACAATGTCATTATCCTTTTGTTAAACAAATCCAAAGAAATGAGCACAGCAGAACAATGTCAGAAAACCCTGATGCCCACTATTCCTCAGGAAGAACCAGAGACCATCATCTCTAAAGTGATAAGGAATGTACAGGTGAGGGCAGTGCAGTTATTAAGAAGTGTGAGAGGGAGAGGCTACTTCAAAGCTGAGAACAATGAGAATGACAGGATCCTGAAATAGTACAGGGCTCTTATTGGAACCTAACAAGTCAGAGAAATGCCTGCTTGCACATCCTCGTGATAATAGCTGGCTTTCTACAGGGGGCACAACTCAAGAGTGACTAGCCTTGGATGTGACTTCCACGTGTTGTATTTGATAGAGGTGCATCACTCAGCCTAGTGCACATGCAAGAGGAGAGGAAAGTGAGTTCTCTTTTTGAAGGAAAAGTTTCAATGGGTTTTCAAATAAATTTTAATGCAACCTAAAGGAAATTCTTAGGTGAAATCTATGCTTCTTATGGCTACAACTCGAGGATGGGTTTTAAAGTTACAGCTCCCAAGACAAACATTTGTACTAGGGGACACTGAGCTTTAAGCAGCTGTTTCCCTGTCTCTGTAGACCCTGTGCCAGGCAAGGGGTACATCAGTCTGATGATTAAGTGGGGAAAGCAGTGCGGTCACATCATGGGGGTAGCAATGCATGAATGTGGCACCTACTGCAACATCTCTTCATATTCTTCTGCTCAGTTTTGTCATTGAAGGAACCATCTTAATGACCACACCCTGAGGATCTGAGAAATATCACACAGGGAAGTCACTTGTTCTGGAAGAGGTGGCACCCAAGGTAAGTGGAATCTAGAACAGATATGCAGGAAGGAAGTGAGGCATATTTGTTTGCATTCCAAGACTAGAGACTGCAGCCACTTTGAAGTTTGTCCTACTAAACCTCTTGGTGCAGTTTTCCCAAGAAAAGAGAGCATTTGGGATCCTGGAGGAACTTTATTAAATTGGAGTCATTTATCACCTGTAGGAAGTGAATCCGGGTCACACAGGAAGTACTTCTGCCTGAGGTCAAGGCCAGATGCCTGCAGGCACATACTCTCTTCTGCACCAGCCATTCTTCTCTCCGGCTGCTTGTTGCTGGCTGTTGGTGGCTCACAGCCAAGACCCTCTTCTGGAATAGACTCTTGGCAGAGAGTACAGGCTGGCCTGAATTCTATTGCCTCCTTTCCTGGGAGTAGGCTATATCCAATGGTCAGTAGAATCTGAAAGAAAAAGCCACTCTTCTTGTCTCAATTTGAGCTATTTCTGAAGGTCTATCCTAGCTGTAGACCTTGCTGTGGTATCATATCACATCCTGCTGCAAGTCAGCTCTACTTCCTCAGCCTCCTCAACCCTTGTCCTCATCAGCTGAGGCTTCTGCTCTCAGATGAGTTCTCTACTAAGCCCCCTGTTTCTGATATTTATCTCCACACCTGTTGCCCAAGGCTTAATGGGGGACACTTGTAGATTTAAGCTCTCATCCCTTAAAGCCTCTCAAATAATTCTATGATATGGCTATTACTTGTGCTTTCTTTTACAGACAAGAAATCTGAAAAAGCTGGGTGTAGTGGTATACTCATGTGACCCCTACATTCCAGGAGCCTGAGGGAGGAGGCCTGCAGGTTTGAGGTCAGCCTGGCCACCTCAATGACATAGCAGTACACTGATTAAAAAAAAATAAAAAAGGGTTGAAGATGTAGCTCAGTGGAAAGTCCCTGGATTCAATTTCCAACACCACAAAAAGTAAGTAAATAAAGAAATAAATAGATAAATAAATCATCTGTTGAAGTTCAGAGATAGCAAATGGCAGCTTTGGACTCAAATCTGACTCTACAACCTGAAATCTTGACAGCTACCTTTGAATTTTCTAGATTTTGTGGTTCTAAGACCATGATATTTGTTGTCATAAATATTTTGTCATATTCTTGGATGTTCTCCTAAGTGATAGTATAGATGTCGTAGATGTGTAGGTTAACTTTGCAACAGCAATAAAGAACCCTAATGTGTCAATGACTAATGATAACAAATGTTGATTTCTTGTTTATATTATATGTTGGCAGCTCTGAGTAAACAATAGTGGCATATGTTATACATCTTTTCCTTCAAGGACTCGGGCTAAGGGTTCAGTCCCTATTTGGGGGTTGCCTTTTTTATGGCAGAAGGACAGAGGCAAATATCTGATGAAAGCACATGATTGGATTTGTTACCTCTGCTCCCAGAAGCATGCTACTCTGTATATCCAGGGGCAGTGATCCTCTTTGAGGGAAAAGAGGAGTGAATGGTCATAAACAATAATGGCATTGACCACAGCACATATCCATGTTAGAGTTACAATAATTTAATAATCAAATGCATTGATCCAGTTGCTGGGACACAATACCTGACACAACTTAAAAGAGCAAACACTTATTTAGTTTCCAGTTTCAGGAGGTTCAGTTCATGGTTGAAGTTATGGCGGAGAAAGATGCTTAGTTCATAGTGACTAGAAAGCAGAGTAGGGGGAACATTCTGGAGAAGAGCAGATGAAAGATGATAGATTGTGTCCAAAGTCACAATCACAGCTCACCCAGACCCACAAGCATTCTTACTGATCTGCCAGGCTTTTCTGAATCCAGTGAAATGGACATATCAAGATTAATGGTCACATCAACTTTTGCCAGTTAAGCAATTTAAATTTGTAAATGATGTGATGCACCTTAGATGTTGGAATCGCTATGACTGTTACATATCTCAGGACCTCAGGATCAAGTTCCTTGACCACTGTCAGGGATCCTCTTTGCCCTTTACTAGTATTCTCCAAAGAACTGACATCAAACTGCCTGCTAACAAAGACTTAGCTAACATGGGACTTGAGGGGCTGGTTGGCCATTTCTGAAAAACAGTCACCATCAAAAAAAATTTTTTTTTGCCCAGAAAATAGCCTTAGAACAAAATAGGAGGCTTTCAATTGTATTCAACTGTAGAGTGACTGAAAGGGTTAAACTAAGGTACCAGGGTCCAGCAAGGAGGCATTTGTAAAACCAAACACCCTGCTCTAGAGAGACGACTTGGCAAGAAGAAACACTGGAAGCTCTCTCAGACGAGCCCTTTAACTGTGCAGTCAATCCTGTCCTCGCATCTGGGGATTCTTCTGCGGTCACCAAAAATACTCTCTCTTACCTAGCAGTGTTAGGGAGATGTAAGTAAAAACAAGATGCCTGTATTTCCCATCACAGAAGAATGTGCAGCAGGATAATAAAGCTCTTCTTTTCACAAGAGAGACGTTTAGCCTTCTATTTTTGATGTGAAAATACTAACTTGAAAATACCTTTCTTTCCAGTGGGCTTTCTGTCAAACTTGGTACCATCGAGACTCAGCAAACATTTTGTGGCTGGCTGCCAAACTAAATACATGTTGGCCAAGCTCCTAATAATGGAAACCAACATGTGGTGGGAAAATGTCTTAAGGTTGCTTGGTAGAAAAAAAGGTCCTGATGTGACCTCAAAAACAATCATTTCTTCACCACTCTTGAAATCTAAATAAATTAGATTGAATCCATCAGACTGCTCCTGGCCTATCAGTAGAAGTATAAATTCCTACATGTGAGCTTTGACTAGCAACATTTGATGGAGCTGAGAAAATTAAAAAAAAACATTTATATATTTTAAAGAGAAGTTTCTATATATGAGAAAATTTCAGGAGACGGACTCCCTCCCCCCAACCGAAACGTATAACTAGCTTCATGTTTATTTTATTATAATCATGAGATAACTGAGTGCTACTGAATGAAAGTGATAAATTATTTAAATATTAGGCCTTAGGTAATACATTAAGAAAAACTTAACCCACATGATTTACCAGACAACTATAGAGATCTGGAGTAAAGATGTCTACACCATCACATTTTCTGTTCAAAATGTAATGCTGACCCTCCATAGAAATATCACATGTTCCTCATTCTATTATAGACAAATAAATTAGATAGAATTTCACATATAAGCTGAGAGGGACTGGGCCTTTGAGCAAGTCAGCACAGAAAAATTAAAAAAACATCAGCACTGTGGCTGGAGGTGCATCTGAAGAAGTTGTGGGAGATACAACGGCCAGGCTTCCCCGCCTCCCTATGTGATAAGCAGTAACTTGAAATTTTACTCTAATGAGTGCTCCGTGGTCCAGTAAGTACAGCTAGGATCACCAAGTGGACGATCCCAGCTTTGGACCCATCCCTCCTTCCAAATGCCTTTGTTCTTTCCATGCATCCTTACTGTGTGGCTTGTTTCCCTAATGGATCAATATAAGCTAAGTGGATATACTTGTAATTCCATAAGGCAGTGATGCTAAACCTTTCAGAGACCAAGTACCCAAGCTGCAACCCAAAGCCCACTTATTTATTCTGAAGTGCCAACACTCCAATTAAACCTGAATACTAAGATTTTATTTTAGAAGAAACACAACTGAAATCCAGCACTCAGCTGCTGGGCTGACTTGGCTCATGAGTCTGCAGAAATGGCTCTGCATGCCTGTGATGGCACATGTGCTGTCCGTTTGTGATCACTGCTGTAGCGTGGTGGGAGTTTGACCCACACAGTACTCATGTTGTAACTTTGCCATACAGATTACCCTGCCAAAGGGCCTCAGTGGGCACCCCATTCAGGACTGCTCCTGGAATCCACCAGCTAGTCTTATTTCTAGTAAAACTCGCCTGTTGCAGTCAGAGTTTACAGGGGAATGATTGGATACAGGATGCATAATTTATAGGACTATTTTATAATACTCATCCAAAAAGTCAACTGCCAAGGAGTGCAAGAGATCTGTCCACACACTAGAGACCAAAGAATCCAGCTGAGGTCAGGATCTCATTGCAATGTCCTACGTGAGTCCAGCTGAAGGCCTAGAGCCCACAACAATATCTCATGCAAATCTGTATCAAGGACCTGCATTGGGAAGGCTCAAAAGTCAGTAGCAGAGGCTATAAGTTCTGCGCCAGTAGAGTGAAGGGTCTGCCAGCAGCCTGAGCAATCTTCATGGAGTCAGGAAGCAACGCTTAAGGTAAGAACCAGAGCTCCCCACAAAAGAACCGCAGCCCTTTGCAGCAGCAGCGAGGACCCAAGCTCCTTCAATGAAGAGAAGAGCTGAAGTCATATCAGGAAAACCAGCCTGACAAGCTTTTGCAGGAGACTCAATAGCACACTCTCATCTCCTCCAGTTCCCTCTTTACGATGTTGGCACCAACTCTTGGGTGTGCCTTCCACACCCAGCACTATGATGATTCAGTTCAACTGGGTGTTACAAGCTGACCATTAGTTAGTCCACCACATCGTCTCACTTCTTCCTTTGCTTCAAGACTTCATTCCTAGATGGTGTGGGACCACGAACTCAGCACATTTGATATCTCACTGGTTGGGAATTATAGTTCTCCTGTACCAATTCTATGTGGATATCGGATGTCCCTCTATATTGCTGCATATTCCTTTTGTCGCTGGCATATCTTCCTCTTTTGAGAGATAGGAATCTGTGATTACGTACAATAATGTCATCTGTATTTCAATTCCAGAAAAACAATGGCCTAGTATTAGAGCTGTCAGGATCACCCATGGCAGATGGTGCTTGGGATTTGTTTTTTTAACTCTTGTAAATATCACCATCTTTTTTTATGAGTCTGTATGGACTGACTAAAAATGTCTTTAATCTGACATTAATTAGAGGCAGTGAAATACCTTCAGAAATCTGATTCAGGAGCCAAAATATTTTAGTCTTTCGATTTTAAAATAAATAGTAGTTTACACTGACTTTTGAAAAGCTTTTTTTTTTTCTTTTCTGAGAACTGTTGTTTAAAAGAGAATGGTCAAAAGAATTGAATTTCTAAAGTCTTGTGAGTTTGAGGGCTGGCGGGAGGAAAAGTTACTCTATTGTATGGACTCCTTGTTCACATTGCCTCTTTCTGAACACCAGCTCCAGTAAAGGATGAGTGAAGCCAGTGTCTTGGAGCAGAGAGCTCTGACACATACATGGTGACCTGTCCCCAGACTGTGACTGTTATGACTGAGCTCTAGTCACAGAGACACCATTGCTCACAAAGACCTCTGACATTTGCTGGTGAAAGTATTCCTTATGTCACAGGCATATCCAGTCTACATTAAAAAGAAAGTTCAGGTCCAGGTAGCAATTTATAATGAAGAAAATGATAAATTCATGGATTTATTTTATTTTATTTTTTGTCTTTTTCATTTTTATCGGTACTAGGGATCGAACGCACAGCTGCCTGCTTGGAAGGCAGGTGCTTATGCCGCTGAGCAAAATCCCCAGCCCAAATTCATGGATTTCTAAAGAAATGGTTTGATGCAAAGAATCCAGTTAAGGGAAGTATCATGATAGGTTTGTTTTCTAGGATTTTCTTCAGTGTCTGAACTTAAATATTAAAAACTTCTTGATGTTTGAGTAATGCTTTGTACTTTCTGGTTTTATTTCTGAAATTTTGTTTATTTCTTGTTAGGGTTTCAATTTAAAATCCCACAAAAATCTCATGTCTGTGGAAGTGTAGAACATAGTTTAGTAGCTTATGAGTTAGGTAGCTAGATAGGGGAAGGGCCTGACATAGAGGTGGATAGGCCATGGGAATTTAAATTATTTAATGGAAATTTAAATAAGAATGCTGAACAAGGACTTTGACCTCAATCAATATGGAATGGAGACCCTCCTAAAGGGAGGTGCAGCTGTACCCTACTTAAGTCTTTGGATTTTGAGGAAATTATAACATACAATAGTTGGTTTCTTTCAAAGATCCCAGTTTATGGAAAATAATGTGAAGGAACTGGGTTGGGAACATGAGTTTCAGTTGGTCATTTTTTTAAACTTCATCAAGCCACCCATGATAGATGCCCACTAAACAATTACACAAAATCAAAATCGAAGAGTTGTTTCTCATTTTATTTTCAATAAAAAACTTTCCTATCCTTCTTCTTTGGTTGGTTACTATATTCTTTGATATTTGCCAAACCACAAGCCTGGTACACACGATAATGGAAGGTCCTTGGGTCATGGGGTGCTGTACTGATCAATGGATGCACATACTGATGAATTCAGTAGTTGAAATTGAGGTTGGGAAGTGTGGTCTGGGTGGAGTTGGATCACTGGGGTCATGAAATTGGCTCTTCTCCCTTCTCTCTCTGATTCCTGACTGCCATAGTTTGGGCAGGTTCATTCCACCTCATCCTTCTGCCTTGCCTCATTTGTCCTGGGGCCAGCCAGCCAATGGCTGAGACCTCTGAAGACTGTAAGCCAAAGTAAATCTCTCTTCTTTTGAGTTGTGGATGTCGGATATTTTGTTCCAGCAAAGAAAAAGCAACCAATAGATAATACATGCTTGCTTTTCCAAGGCCATGCAGCTAGCAGTATGAATTATCATTCTTTTCATTCCCTATTCATCTTTATTCATTCTAAAGGTAATTGTTGGTATACTACCATTTGTCTGAGCATAGGAATACATAAATAACCCATTTAGACTTCAACTCTAACCAAATAGAATAAGTTTCGGTTGTGACACATGGCTGTGACAAAGACACAGCTACATTAGAGGCAAGAAGTGGTGGTGCCTGGTGGAGGTTGCACCTACAATACAATAGGTGGTTGCTATAGGTGATTGCACCTACAGCACAGGGAAGAAACAGCCAAGCAGAGAGCCACAGAGAAAGCACTCTAGGTAGAGACACGACCACCAAGAATGCACCAGTGAGCCTTGAGTGTAGAGGGAGAGGAGACTGCTAGGAAGATTCCAAATTAGGAAGGTTTAAGGGAAGAGGAAATCTGATTTCAATTAGAATCATGACATTAAAGGACAGCGGTTACTGACTTCCTGTACATCATTAAAATCATGAGCCTTCCACTCCCAACAATTTTGTACAAGATATTTACAAATGTCTGACTCCTTGTATGTGTTCCTAATTTTCCATTCTGGAATCTGCTGTGCTTTGGATGGTTGTTCTCAACACTCACTGAGACCTCGCTGGTCGTATTCTGGCTCAGTCCCTTCTGGCTCAAGATGTTCTTATTGTGTTGATGATGCATCTTGGAGGAAGCTTCTAAGATGTCACTTTCCCAGGATATCACTTCTGTCTTTGACTGCATTTTCTTGCTACTCCCCATTAATTTCCACAAGCAAGACAAAGAAAACAAACTCCTTCCACTTGGGTTCAAGTGTGTAAGGCATGAGGGACAGGCAGGGTTGGCTGCTGTGGGGTCAGCCTTGGGTGGGAAAATGTGGTAGTGGTGTTTTAAGCACATACAGAGTCCCAAGGGGTAAAGCTAGCTGTCAACGGCAGAGTCCCTGGAGGTCCACATATGGAGCTGGGATTTGTTGTTGGTACCAGTAGGTGTGCTTTGTGTTGTTCCATGGGATGTGGATATTAACAGGAGAGCGGAAGTCTAAGGAAAACCCATCAGTAGTATTTGACTGACATTTTGGGAAGCCATCGCATTTCATAAGAAAACAATTTTGTTTCTCCATTCTTTTAGCAGAGGAAAACCATCCACAAAATCCAAGCCTGCATGATTGAGTTTGGCCAGGAAAGTTGGGATTTGACTAGAATAGACTGCCCTGCTTGGCAGACTCCTCCACCCTCTTAAAGGAAGTCCTCTGCGGGCCTGCATCGCCTTGGAAAAACAGAAGAAAAGACAGTATTTTTGTTAAAGTTGCCTAGGAAAAAATTATTATAGAAAATTCGTGGAAAAACATTGCTTTCAGGATTACTCAAAATATCTCTTTGGTTAAATATAGAGCACTGTCCACAACCTTGAGCTCCTGAGGTCGGGCAATTGTGAACTCTGGGGTGTTGTCTGCTTCCTCCTCCCACTTCATTTTCTCTGTACTTTCCAAGCTAGTCCTGGAAGTTTAACCAAGAGGATGAAACAAAAATTTTAATTATTATCCTGGTACAAGCTGTAACCTATATTAAAAAAAAAACTTTAAATGATGTCCATGAAATTTTATTCTAAAAATGATAACTGAAATGATAGAAGGAATGTTCACATAAAAAAAAGAACAGAAATGCATCTTTCAGGAAATGTTTTATAAAATTTGTGAAGATCAAGGGAACACTACTATCACCCAACACTGGGTATAGTTACGGAGGAGGAAATTCAAAAAATTGTGCATTTTGTAGGGAAAATCGCATTCTGGTGTCCCTTAAAGGAAATCTATATCTACAGATTGAAATTAAATTGAATACAGTAAACTCCATTCTAAGAGGTGTGAAGCCTGAAATTCACTCCTAAAGAAAATCATCAAAATGCATTGTTCGGTGATGTAATTTACTTTGTTTTATTATTATTATTATTTTCCCTGTAACCCCCTCTTTTAGTTTGATAGGAATGTACCATTTAATTTCCTTATCTGTAATAGTTATGATATAAATAGTTACTACAAACAGAATTAAGAACATGTATGAGAGAAATATAGGATTAGGTCCCTTGAAACTCTGGTTATGTTTTCATCAATAGATCAGTGCATAATCTTACTTTAAGTGTGTTTCTGCTTCTTACTGAGTGCGTGTATCTAACAGCTCTTTAACTCATTCAGCGATGTGGCTTATCTAGCACACATATGGGTCTTCTCTATGAGGCATGTCACAACCTCTCTGTGTTAGGGACACCAGAAGGAATGTCAGGACCATACTTACAGGACATTTTAAATGTTGAAGTCACCAGAAGAAAAATGAAGAAAAAAAAAATAGTGGCACTAGATTGATAGTGAAAAGGACACTTGTTTATACTATAAGCTGCAGTAGAAAATCTTCTTAGGTCTCAGCTAAAATAATGCCTTACAGGCAATTCAGATTTTACCAGTCTGAATATTTATGAATGATTACAAAAATGCAGGTGGAGTTGATTTGGAGTATACAAATGCATTATAAAAGGATGGAATTTGTGAATAATAAGCATTGATCACATACTCCCAGTGCTTGAGAAATTGAGGCAGGAGGATCAGAGAGAGTTTGAGACCAGTGTGGCCTACACAGTGATTTCAAGATCAGCCTGAACTATTCAGGGAGGCCCTGTACCAAAACTAAAAAATCCTGGACTAGGCTCAGTGGCTCAAAAGCTTGCCTGATAAGTGCAGGGTTGTGAGTTTGATCCCTGATACAAAAATCTCAAAAAACAAAAACCAGCAACAACAACAAAAAAACTGACCACACACACACATGTTACACACACTTTTTTTATTTCTCTTCCACTATGTTCTCAGCAAATGCCTTTTTTTTCATACACTGTGGATGACTTTGGGAAATTCTCTTTCATTTAGTTAGAAACTAGGTGCTAGTAGGTATACTGCTAAGAAGAGTAGAATTTATAATTAATTGAGATGTGCTGGTGTCTACTTAACTCAAGTAATTCTTGGATCTGGAAAAACTAGACCCAAAAGGCATACTTACAAGTGTGTTTAGCTGTCATCAAGGCATGAACACACGCAGAATCTTTGAGGACATCTGGCAAAATGACCAACTGGCGGACCTCAAAGGACTCTCTCCTTCCACAAGCAGGAATCTGGATGGAATATACTCTTCTTTAAAGGTTCAGCATGTTTTCTGATGAAAGATGACAAGACAATTTCTATGTAGAAAAAGGGACTCAACAAACCCTGGAGAGCACACAAGCCCTGGGTCTAGGACAAAGTGGGTTGTTCTAGGGAAGAGAACAAATTTGACCTTCAAGACCAGAGAGCTGAAATATTGCTTTCATGTGCTCATCAGACCCTTCAAGATCTGTAATGTCCTTCCAGGGTTGGGGGAGAAAATTCTATTCATAAGAACTGGTAGTCCTAGTCCTAATCCTAGATTTTTGAGGAATCTGTACACTGATTTCCACAGTGTTTGCACCAGTCTACACTCCCACCAACAATGGAGGAGGGTTTCTTTTCCCCACAACTCTATCACCATTTGTTATGGGTTGATTGCTTAATGATAGTCCTTCTTTCTGGGGTGACATGGAATTTCAGTGTTTTAATTTGCATTTCTCAAATCACAACTGATGTTGAACACTGCTTAATATATTTATTTGCTATTCTCTTCACCTGAGAATCATCAATTCATTGTAAACGTTCATTTTTGGATTGTGTCCTTATACACATTGGGTTTGATTTTCTTGAGTACTTTATATATTTTAGATAATAGTTGATGTGGAAACCTATCTATTTTTTTTTTATCAGTACCGGGGATCGAACTCATGACCACCTGCTTGCAAGGCAGGTGCTTATGCCACTGAGCTAAATCCCCAGGCCTTCTTGCGTATTTTATATATTTTAGATAGTAGTCCTTTCTCTGAGGAACAGCTAGCAAAACTTTTTCCTACAGGAGGTCTCTTCACTCTATTGGTGGTTTCTCTTGCTGTGCAAAAGCTTTTTAATAAGATGAGAAATTAGTTGTTTCTTTGTAATATTTTCCTTGCAGTTTAGATTTTGTTCAGAAAATCTTTACCTACACTATGTCTTCTATTCTATCTTCCAGCAGATTTAGTGTTTCACTTTTAACATTTAGATCTTTGATCCATTTTGATTGTAGTTTAGTACATGGCGAAAGATGTAGGTCTAGTTTTAATCTTTGGCATATAGAAAGTCAGTTTTTCCAGCATCATTTATTAAAGAGACGGTGTTTCTTCCAATGGAGATGTTTGGCACCTTTGTCAACAATAATTTTTAAGTCAGGGACTGTGATGCTCCCCGCTTTGCCTTGGGGCCTAGAAGGAATTTGTTATTCTAGGTCTCTTCTGGTTCCAAATGAATTTTAGGATTGTTTTCTCTAATCTTATGAGATAAGCTATTGGAATATGTATAGAAATTTTGGGAGTATGACCATTTTCACTATGTTGGATATTCCAACCCAGGAGAAAGAGATATCTTTCTATTTTCTGACATCCTCTTCAATTTCCTTTTTCCGAGTACTATAATTTTCAGTGTAGAGGTCTTTTGTTTCCTTCATTGTATTAATTCCTAGTATATCATGTTTGACATTCCACATGCTTCCCTAATTTCTCTCTCAGTGAATTTGCTATTTGTGTACAGGAAAACCATTGATTTTTTTCATTGTTGACTTTATATCAAGCTACACTTGATGGGGTTTTTGGGATCTTCCACATAGAATATCATGTCATCTTCAAATAATGACAACTTAATGTCTTCCTTTCCTATCTATAATCCTTTTATTTCTTTGTCTTCTCTAATGGCTCAGACTAATATTTCCAGAACTATATTGAAAAAGAGTAATGACAGTGGACATCCTTGTCTTGTTCCTGATTTTAGAGTAGAAGTTTTCTGGTTTTGTCCATATAGTACAATATTGGCTATTGGCTTGTATCACATTGGGATAAAGGCCATCTATTCCAATTTTTTGTAGGACTATTTTTTTTTATCATGAATGGATGCTGGACTTTGTCAAATGCTTTTTTTCTGGATGTATTGAAGTGATCATACGTTTTTCGTCCTTGGCTCTTTAGCATGATTGATTATAGTTATTGATTTATGTATTTTGAACCATTCCTGTATCCCTGGGATGAATCCTATTTGGTCATAGTCTTGATGATTTGCTGCATTCTCTTTGCCAGTAGATTATTAAGAATTTTTGCTTCTCTGTTCATTGGGGAGATTGGCCTGTGGTTCCGTTTCTTGGTTAGGTCCTTTTCTGGTTTTGGCTTCATAGTTATACAGCACAAATCTTACTTGTCAATGAACTATTTTAACTATCTTGTGTGTGTAGGCATTTTTCATTTTCTCTTCCTTTTCCTTTCCACCATCCCCAATTCACAATATTTATTTATGCTAATATTGTTTGGACATCATTTCTTTTTTTTTTTTTTAATTTTTATTTAAGGAGAAAAGAAAAGAAAGAAAAAAAAACAGTGAAGGGGTACAAGTTATACAGGTTTACAGAATAAAAAAATGCGCAGTAGGAAATCACTAGTTAATGGATTACATATTGCCATCTTAGAAATAATTGTTCAAATCACAAAATTAAAGCTTGTAGAGTGGACATTCCAACAATGATACTGCAAACAGTTCTGTTCAATGATCCAATAAAACTCTGTGATAGCATTTTCTATCTTATACTTTTAAATATACATGCAGTTATATAGTTTAGAGCACTTTCTTTTCCTCTCTTTTGTACAGTGACTATTACACATTTTGGGTTTCATTGCTCCCACAGTTCTTGTTGCTTTTTTGGAAGAGAGTAAAACCAAATGTGACATAACAGAACAGAATCGGTCAAGTCAAAAGGGTGGACATAATAGATAATATAAAAAACATAATACAAGGTGATCAACAATGGTTACCATAATGCCTCCCGCTATTTCTAATAGAATTGCCTATATCATTAGTTGTAATACAATTGAACAAAACCGTAAAGAATAAAACCGACAAAACCAAAACATTGGAGATATTGTAGGTCTTCAAAAGTAGATAGAAGTCAACGAGAATGGGCGTTATAATGAATCTCATTATCTTCTCAGCTGATGCCTAAACTTTCGAACCTGATACTATCCAGCAAAACAGAATATAGGAACCTCAGTCAAAAACAAGATGGTGAGAGTAATACAGGGCTTCAAATCGAGATAATAGAAAGATTGGACATCATTTCTTGTCTCTATCTTGTACTTTGTGAAATCTATGAATTTCTTTTTGAATTAAATATATTTGTTGTATGCAGCATATTATTGGATCTTGGTTCTTGCTTCTGCATCCATTCTGCCAGTCTGTTTATTTGGACTAGAGAATTGAGACTGTTTTCATTGGTGGTTATGACTGATAGGTATTGGCTTATTACTGTCATGTTATTTTTCTGTTATTGGCTCCCCTCCTCCTGTTCATGTGCTTTGCTGGTAGATTCATCCTGTTGGTGTTCATGGAGTTGGAATCTTTTTTATCTCTTTCTAGAATGTCCTTCAGTGCATTTAGGAGTGTTGGGTTTATATACACTAATTTCCTCAGATTCTCTTTATCATGGAAGTATCTTATTTCTCTATCAATTTTGAAAGATGATTTCATAGGGTACATCAATCTGGGTCAGAAGTTGCTTTCTTTTAGGGTTTGAAATACTTTACTCCAAGTTTTCCTTGGCTTAATGGTTTGTGTTGATAAATCCGCTGTAATTCTGATGAATTTTTCTTCATAGTTGACTTATTTCTTTTTTCTAGTAGTTTCTAATATCCTATTTTATATTGAATTTCTGGAATTTTTGACTATTATATGGCTTGCAGTCTAATTATTTTTTTATCATGGCTAATTGGAGTTCTTTATGTATCACTTACCCTGTACATCAAACTCTTCTCGCTGCCAGTGAAGTGTTCTGCCATGAGGTCCGTGAACTGGTTTTTTTTAAATGTCATTTGTGCTGTCTCCTGCTTTGTCATTGACTCTGATCAATCTTGTGTTATTCTTCTTTGCATCATCTTACAGCTGCTGTATGGATTTGCTGTGGTCCCTTGCTGTTTTTAAGATATCTTTCTTTTCCTAATCACTAACCTCAATCTTGTCTTCTATATTTGAGATTATGTCCTCACATGGATTATACTACTGCATATACTCCCAATGGAAGTTTTAATCTCCTGGATATTTCATTAAACCCTTTTATCTTTCTGTGGGCCTCAATTCTCATTTCAGGTCCTTCTTGGGTCTTGGGGACTCATTTTCTTCCTCCTTTGCCTCACATTGCTTTATTCCAGTGAGTGTTTGGACACCAAATCTTGGAGAGGCATTCTCTGCTGTTTGTCACTCCATTTTCTTTCTTTCTTTTTGTTTAAAGAGGAAAAAAGAAAGGACATAAAAAACAAAGCAGTAAAAGGGTACAAGTAATACAGAATTTCAAGAAAAAATATACAGTAAGAAATCACTAGTTAATAGGTTACATATTGTCTTAGAAACAGTTGTCCAAATTATAAAATTAAAGCATATAAAGTGGACATTCATACAGTGATATTGGAGACAGTTCCGTTCAATGATCCAACAAAAGCTCAGTAATATGGTTTTCCATCCTACACATTCACACATACCTGTAGTTGTATCCCTTAGTCCACCTTTCTTTCCTCTCTTTTTTACAATAACAATTACACTTTTTGGGTTTTATTACTCCCACAGTTCTTATTACTTTTTTGAAGAGAATAAAAGCAAATGTGACCAAGCAAAACATAGTCAGTTAGAACAGAAGGATGGGCATTGTACATGATGCAAAAATAGAATACCAGGTGATCAAAAGTGGTTACCATTGTGCCTCTTGCTATTTTTAAATTGAGTTGCCTATATCATCAGGTACAATAGAATTGATCAAAACAGCACAGAAGAAGACCAATAAAACCTACACTGGAGACCTTACAGGACTTGAAAAAAAGATAATAGTCAAACCATAATGGGCGTCATAGTACATCTTATTGCCTTCAAAGTGGTTGCCTATACCCTCAAACTGGAACTATCAAACGAAATAGAATATAGTATAATCAGACAGAGCAAGATGGGGAGAGCAATACTGGGGTTCAAATCAGGTTAATAGGAAAAAAAAGTTACTATAATATATCCCGCTATTTTTAAATTTAGTTTTCCCTT